TCTGACTGCACAGCCCCCAGCCCTCAGCCCCAAGCCCAAATTCAAAATGTGTTCCCCAAAAAAGAAACCTGCTCGAAACTTTCGCTCAAAACGTTTGGCTCACAACTTTCGCCCAAAACTTATTGGCACCTTGGGGTCGAGAGTCTACGTCTGTGTTACAAGTAAGTAACTTATACTATAGATACAAAATGAAGAGCGTTCCAATGTGTTTTCCTTAAGACTTCAGAAAATAATAATCCAAAAGGGTTTAGAGTAAACAGTTTAAGGTTTAAAGTCTACGTCTAGGGTTTAGTAATTTAGACCCGACGTCCGTGACATGAACCGTGTATCTACAAAACGCCCCGCACACCAGAAAAGAATAACCGAGCGCTCTATTTTTTCATCGAAAATCAACGAAAATAATAACCGTGTGGGTTAAGGGTTTACGGTTTAAACCGCATGTCCAGGATATGAAACGTGGTAGCGTCGACGCCTCCTAGCATGCGGTGTAAGCAGGGGGTGAAGCAGTAAAGGATGCAGGGGGGGAAAAGGGAAGAAGCGAGCGCAGCTGATGAAGCATCGGGAACCACATCGGATAGCATGCGGATCGTGATACGTGACTTCTCGCAGGCGATGAATGCGCCAAAGAAGACCAGGACATTGGACATGAAGGGCAAATGCCGGTGCGAAGCCCAAAGGCATCGGCCGACGAGTCCACAGGCAACCGGCGAGTATTCCGTATGTGTTCGGGGTTCCTCTTCTCGGGCGTTCCGTCCGTGCTGGTCCTAACTCCTGAGAGGTCCTCGGATGTGGCCAAGGAGCAGATGCGACTGCAGCTGCCAGCTCTGGAAGCTTGTAGGCGCGATATGCCGGGTTGATGTTGCTGGAGCGGTAACAGCGGTCCTGGCAGGAAACTCCGGCGTGAGGACGAAGGAGGGGAAACTGCACGTGGCTGCGCGCCACTGCCTCTCGACAAGTGATGAAACAATTTGTGCCGGGCTCAGTACGTAGAAGTGCAGGTTGGGTGTGGGCCCCGTCAACCTGGATGTGTGCTTGTGTGCATTGACCAGGCGGACGAACTGACCGCGGCGGTCGAACAGTCAGGCGGCATCAGCAAGGTTTGGTTTCCGAGGGGGCGGATCGTCTTGGGACGAGAAGCAGGCGCGGTCCCGTGTTCCGAGACCACCTCGGTTCACCACTAATGTGCTAAGTCTCATGCCTCGGCGCCATGTAACCTGGATTGATCGTTGATGCCTATCAGGCCAGGCCTTGCACGCACTTTTGAGACAGCCGGTCGAGCAGCCGTACGACGTGAGGACGGCAGTTACCGAGCTGATGCCAGCACTCGTTTCCTTCAGCTTCAATCGCAGTGTCAGACAGGAGCCGCACGCGTACTCCGCTCAAGGATATCACGGGCCTGATCCGATACCGGCTCCAGACGCGGCTCAAGAAGCCATCATCAGCATGGGACTAGGACAGGGGTTGAATGTTGGTGTCGCGCAGGTCACGAGGTGACCGCAAGGACTTCGAGACCGCGGTGAACACGCTCATGATGCTGGCACCTGGCTCGGCAGGGCAGGGAGCTTCTTGGATTTTGTCCGGTTCCGGAGGAGCTTCAGTCTCACACTGCTGCATAGCAGCCTCCCGTAAGCGGACTGAAGGCCCCTCGAGAAAAAGATACGGGAGGCAGTCGTGTTGTTTTTGTGTTGGAGAGACGCTAGACTGTTCTGGAGCAGCTGTCCGGCTTTGGTGCTGGAGAGCAACCGAGCTGTCCCGGTACAACCGTCTCGCTCCCATGTTCGGTCGGGGGAACACATGTGACGTCGTTTTCCTCGTCGAGTGTGCATTTGTTTGTGAGTGGGCTGGGCTGGGGGGTGAAATTGAAGGCTTAGTCGGATTCGACGCAAGCAATGACATGCAATTTCTATTTATCACTTTCCTGAGGGTTTAGGGTTTGGGGATTTAGGGTATACAGCTTAGATATGCTGGTGGTATTTAGGGTTTAAGGTTTCGGATTTGGTGCTCGGGGTTGTGGGTTGAGCCATTGAAACACAACCTTGTGGAATCTGTCAACCTAACAAAACCCTTCAAGCCCGTAACCAGTCCTCATAATTCCCTAGCACGGCCAGGAATTGCTTCCCCACTTTGTCGTGGTAGAAACATCCCTGGGCACTGGGTGCACCTCTGCTTGCAAGCTGAAGTTTCGGGCTTATGGTTCATTTGGGCCAGCTCGGGCCGTCGTGGGTTACAAGCTACGTGGCTATGGTGTGCAGGGCTCGCATGTCTTGGCTTGGCGAAACTTGTTCGTAAACGACCAATGCACCAACGGGTTTGGTTTGCATTGAGGGGTTGCTTGGGAATATATATATATATATATATATATATATATATGCATGTATGTATGTATGTATGTACGTATGTATGTATATATATATATATATATATACAGATATAGATGCAGATTCCCAGCCCCGAGCACGAAACTCCCAAGGCAAGGTTTCTGTTCCGCAGTGTACTTGGGCATCTAAGCAGCAATTCTTCGGCATGTAATAAACATAATGTATGCAATGTGTGCATTGTATGTAATGTATGTAGTGTATATGACGTACTTTGTTTTGTCCCTGTATGTATGCATGTCAGATGTCCGACTTTCTAGAGCCGTGCAGTGTCAGCGTGAAGCAATCCTCAGCATGAGGCTTAGGGCTCATGGTTCAAGGAGTTGGGCTGTTGGATTCATGAGAAACCACTGAAGCGGGCCACTAAACCCTAAACCCAAATCCTTAAACCCGAAACCCTAAACCTCAACCCTAAACCCCCAAATGCTAAACCCCAAACCGTAAACCGTGAGGTCAGCTTTTCGCTTGCACCCGGAAGCCCGTGAGTGGAGGCGACGTGGAAGCGCGCAGCGCAGCGCAAAAATGTCATCGGCCCTGGGTCCCCGAAGTTTGAGGGAAGTGCGATTGAGACCCTTTAGGGTTTAGGGGTGTAGAGGTGTAGGGGTTTATGGATTTAGGGGTTTCGGGATTTAGGGGTTTAGGGGTTTAGGGGTTTAGGGGTTTAGGGGTTGAGGGTTTAGGGGTGTAGTGTTTAGGGGTTTAGGTGGAGGTGGGGTTGAAGAATTCAAGGGTTTAGGGTTTAGGTTACATCTCCCTAAGCCTTGACGACCCCGGCGCAGAGGTATAATGCCTTGGTGGAGTATTTTGTCTCGTAGTAGCATTGCCTTGTATGGTGTAGCATTGCCTTGTATGGTCCTTTTAACCTCATATTATACAGTTATCCATGAGGATACCCCCCGGCCCCCTGCAATCGCATAGCCCTCAAGAGGTGAGTGCGGGTTCGCAAAGAAAAAAGCCCTCAGAATTGAACTAGTTTGTTGGTGTGAGTTATATCCTAAACCCTATAGTTAGAATACGAAAGCCTGCGGAGCCCTAAAAAGTAGACTAGGTGGCAATTTGGGAAACTTTTTAATTCCCCTTATGGTTCCTATAGAGGTACCTATTCATAAATACTTTTCAGAGCCCCAAAACTACAACCCAGTAGACGAGTTTCTTTGGCGGGCGAGGTAAATGAAGGAGCCGGAAAGCCGATGACAACTGTAAGTTTTTCTCTGCGAGGTGTCCTTGCAGCTGTTGGCCGACAGGAAGACAGAGGGGGCATCTTTCTTCACATGGGCCAGTCAAGTCTGAATAGAGGATTTAGGGTGGTCTCTAGCCACAGAGTCTTTCCCCCTTTTTCCGCAGACCCAGCCTCTAGACTCTAAACCCGAAGCCCTAAATCCCAGACTTATATAAAGCCTAGCTCGTCTGTGTAACTGCTGAATGACTCGAACCTGAAGTTTTGACTCAGCCTCAGCCTCAACGCCCCGTGATCTTAAGTCCCGATACAGCCTTAAACCCTCGAGCCTTTCAACCCTTAATTTCGAATCCTACAGAACCCGTATTAAAGCCCCCATCTCAAACCCCTGAAAACCCGATACGCCCGTTAGACAAATCCGAAAAACTCGTTTCGGAGCTCCGTGGCTTGGGCAAAGCCGCGTGCGGAGCCCGGGAGTTCAGGGCACGGGATGCTTTTCGGGGTTCCTTTGCGGTTCTATTAGGGTTTAGGGTTTTAGTGCTTGTGGTTTTAGGGTTTAGGGTTGAGGGCTTAGGGTTAGGGTTGCTATAGGGGTTCCTTTGCGGTTCTATTACCTGGACCCTAAGGAACCTACCTTTTCAGGGACTTATATAGAGAAATCATATTAGGGGACCCTAAAAAGGTAGGTTCCTTTGCGGTTCTGTTAGGGTTTAGGGCTTAGGGTTTAGGTTTAGGGCTGCTATAGGGGTTCCTTTCCGGTTCTATAAGGGTTTCGGGTTTAGGGCTTAGGATTGCTATAGGGGTCCTTGTGCGGTTCTATAGCAAGGGTGCCCAGTAGTACCCTTCTTCCCTTTTTGTAGTCCTAGATTCCTTTTGAAGCTACCCAATACCAAAAAGGGAGCCCTTTTCATTCCTAGGTTACTGGGCATCCTAGCATAAGGGTTGCTATAAGGGGTTCCCTCAGACTTCAAGTGCTGGGTCCGGAACGCGTCCCTTCGATCTCCGCAACAGCAAGCTAACATGGAAGTTTCCGAAAATTAGGGGTACCTTACTTTGAGGTCCTTGTAATACGGATCCTACTATTTAGGGTACCATATTAGGGTCCCCCATTTTCGGAAGCTCCCATATGCCCTGGGACCGGGTATGGCGCTTCACTTGCCTTGCACGTTCCCCGTAGAGCAATCCAGCTCTCTGGTGGGGAGTGGGGTTTATTGCTGCTACTTGTGCGCCAAAACGCCATAGGGGGCCCACATGATAGGTAGATAGGCGACATCAGGAGGTGAATGGCCTGTAAATTCAGGGTCTTCGCTCCCCTTATACCCTGAAGGCCCTACACTCTGTGCCTCAACCCCCAAACCCTAATCACTAAACCCGAAAACCTAAACCCTAAGTCTAAAGCCTAAACCCTTTTAAAAAGCCTTAACCCTTGGCGAGGTCGAGCCCCTCCGATGAATGTCGCGCGAGCCTGGCGGCGCTTCAAGTGGCAGGATGCGACCTGGAGACATTCTACGCGTTTAGGGGTTTAGTGTTTAGGAGGTTGGGTTCAGGATTTAGGGGTTTAGGGTTTAATTAGGGGTTTAGGGTTTAAGGGTTCAGGGACAGGGGGGTTGATAATTAGATAAGGGCCTTGGCGCATAGTAAAGTTTTAAAGTGTACTTACCTGGCTGCCACGCCATCGTCGTAGCTGGGGTGTTCGTGCACCACCTGCTTCTGCGTTCTTACCAGGACTGCTGCAAAAGCTGCTTCTAGAAGTACGTAGGCTAGCTGAATTGCTGTTCTTCTTCGTCCTGGGCGTCGCAAGAAGAGGGCGTTCGTATTCGGAAGAAAATGGCCCATGAAACGATGAACGACCCCTTTGGAAAGACCTGGTCCATCCCCAGCGAAACTGTCGAAATCTTACAAGACCCTCGAAACACGCTCATGAATCTCTGTGAAGCCTCAAGAAAACCCCTTGAAACCCTTCGACTCTTCTTGACCTCCATAGCCTAAACCCTAAACCCCAAACCCCTGAACCCTAAACTTTATAGACATCCCTAAATCGCAAGACTTCTTCACCCTTTGTAGAAGCCCAGGTGCCGAAGCGCAGGAGGCAGCTGACCTATGTGAGCATTGGCGCGCCTGGGGCCCAGGAAAACCCACCAATGTAGAAGTCTGCTTAGTGCAATATTAGTCCCCGTGCTTCCTAAATCCGAAACCCTAAATTCTAAATCCTACTACGACTTGTATTTGTATTCTAACTTGCCCTCCCAAAACGCCGTTCCAATGAGGGTTCGCATGAAGACCCCGATTCAGAAATGGAAGCGAATAGTCTGGGGTCTGATATAGGGGCCCAAACAATTACCAACACTATTTTGGGGGTTCCTTATTATAACACTTGTATAATGGGCCCAAAAACCCTATTGTTAGTATCAACGCCCCTAAATTACACTAGTTGCGCCGTCATCTCCCTGCACATGCCTTAAAGCACACAACAGAAGAACGACCTCAAGCCCGAAAGCCTTAAAACGCGCGCAGTATGCAGCCGCCGTCCCTTCTTTCCCAGGGCTTTCACCACGGCCACACTGGAAAGCAAGTTCAAGGACCTTGTGAATCGGATTGTGGTTTAAATTTCGAAGGAGCATTCGACACAACCGCTGGAGGGGCTATAGTAGCAATTGCAATTCGGCTCATTACTCTAAACCCTAAACACTGCATAGTCTCGGCTCTTTTCAGGAGTCACTTTTCATTTCATAGTCATTGTCGTAAGGCGGTTAGGTGCTTGGCTTGGGTCCAGGGGATTTCATGTTGATAGTGTGGTGATGACGAATACATACTACCTTAACCTACCAAAACCTACAAAAAAGTAGGGTCCCTATAAAATCCATATTGGGATTTATAATGGGAACCTACAAAAAAGTCGGTTCTGGTAGCTTATGTAAGGTAGGTTTAGGGCTTGGTTAGGGAGACTATTCCTCGCCAGCAACCTATTCTTAGATTCTTACGATTAAGCCACCAATGTCAGGAAAGTTTCTTGCAAGAAACTCCCCAGCAGTGTAGGGGTGGAGTGGTACAACTTACTGTAGGGCTTTGGGGCTTTGGAGCTTAAGATTTGGGTTCAAGGTCCACGGTTTGGGGTCGCAGGGGTTTAGGTTGAGATAGTGTCGCGAGAGTTCCAGCGCTGCTGTACCAGCCGCAAATCAAGCCTATCAACGAGCCGGCAGCGGATCGTCAGAGACCTTCCCACGCCTCGACATCGACTTCCGCCTCCTCTCAGTTTTTGCTGGGGACAACGGTTTTCCAGGGCCGGGCGTCGGCTGAACATCTTCTTGGGCTGCAAGGGCGGTTGGGAGTTCCTGATCGCCTGGTCGGACTGCTCCGCTTGCTTCTTGTCTGCCTTGCTGGTGGAGGCCACAGCCGCATGGCGCACGGCATCATGAGGGTTTCGGGACAAGAGGGCTGGCCACCTCCATGCGCCGGTTAGCATTGGACAGCACCGGTTGAGGCTACGCCCGGCGAGGAGGATGAGGCACGAGGAGCAGCGAGATCCGATGTTGAACGGTGCGGTGGAGCACAGAGTACGGCTTTAAGCGCCCAACAGCCCGAAACCACATGAGCCTTCTTCCCCAAACTTTGAACCCCAAACCCTAAGCCCTAAACACAGCCACTGCACCGTAAGAAAAAACGCCAGAACCCCCAACCCAAAATCGTTGAACCCCAAACCCTAAGCCCCATATACCAGAATCCTTAACCCAAGATCCTATCAGAACTAGGATGCCCAGTAGTACCCTTATTCCCTTTTTGTAGTCCTAGGTTCCTTATAAAGTTACCCAATTCCAAAAAGAGAGGCCTTTTTATTCTTAGGTTACTGGGTATCCTAGCTAAAGGGTTCTATAAGGGTGACTATAAGGGATCTATACGGGCAGGGTTCTTTTAAAGGGTTACCCTAAACCCTAAACCCTTAACCCAAGATCCAGCTGCGCGCGGGAGTACCCAGCGTAGTAGAGGCGGTGTGCTGGACCGAGCTGGCTGGTCTTGCTCCCGTGGCCTCCTGTACTCTACCGTTTTGTTTCCGGGATGCACGGCTTTTCTCCCACAAGTGGTTTTTTCCCTGCAACTGTACATCCTGAACCCTCAACCAGCCGTACATTCTAAACCCAAGATCCTAGCAGAAGGAGTGCATGGAGATTGTGGGGAATCCTGCCGATGCCGACCAAGACCTGATTTGTCCTTCCCCAGACCCCCGGGAGGATCTAGAAAGTAGATTAGTAGGGTTCTTTAAAGGGCTCCTTTAAGGGATCCTTTAGGGTTTAGGGTTTAGGGTTTATGATCTAGAAAGTAGATCCCCTAATTTGGGGCCCTATACTACTAAGGGCACTTTATAGGAACCCCCAATAAGGGATCGACTTTTTGGATCCTCCCGGGGGTCTGGGTCACGGTTCAGGATTTGATCTGGTGGCTTAAAGTTCAGGCAGTTTAGGTGTTCAAGGTTTTCAAGGTTTTTATGCTAAGGCGTTTGAGGTTGTAAATTTTCACCCTACTTATAACTGCCCATGAACCTCCAAGTAGGCTTCGGGCTCTACGATTCTGGAGCTTCGCGCTCAGGTTACGCCTTGGACGTGTAGGAGTGTAGGGTCGAGGGCGCCAACTTGGCGATTCAGGGTTTCGGTTTCCTTTTCTGGGCTTGGGATCATGGGCTTGATGATTAGAAAAGGGTTTTGGAGTACTTCATTGTAACGATGTCAGGACCCCTAAGGAATAATGATGGTTGGGATCGTCACGATTCCGAACAGCCAGAACCCCTCTAGCTGCCAGTCCCTGCACGCCAGGTAACCTCTCCGCACACGCTCTTCTGGCTTCGGGTGCTTTTTGGGCGCATGAGGCTCGCCCCATCTCGCTTCCTGGAGCCATGAAAACGTTGAACCCTATATCTAAACACCAAACCTAAACCCTAAATGGGAGTTTCCGAAAATAGGGGACCCTTATATAGTACCTCAAATAGTAGGATCCTTATTCTAAGGACCCCAAATAAGATACCCAGATTTTTCGGAAACTCCCAAATTAAAAAAGGAGCTCGAAAAGAATGAACTAGGCCCGAAAACTTAAACCTGCATCCTAGGCCCTAAAACCCTGAAGCCAGAAGGTTTCTTCTCAGAAGGCCCAAAAATGGACCGCAGCTTTCCGAGTTCTTTCAGTTTTGTTCATAACATCGGGGTTTTACAGGTCGAGGGGTTCGGAGATAGACCCAGATAAAACCCAAGGGTTTAGGGTTTAGGGTTCATTGGTATTTTCGGTGGGGTGGAGTATTGTTCTCCAAACATCCTATATAATGCAGGCCCTCAGTAATGAGGATAGGCTCTGAAATTATGTAGGAGTGCAGAGTATGTGCAGTCACATAGGTATTACAACAGATCTTAGTACTGACGCTTCATACTCCTATACTACATGCGAGTGCCCTGAAATCTGCTGCCTACTAAGTTCCCGCCCAGGCCTTATGCCCATTCTGACGGAAACCTCTACACTCCTCATCGTCTATATACACTGTCAGCCCGTCAGCTCCAAAACCCAGCTAAAACCTAGGTGATACTACCATAACAGATTTTCTGTAGGCTTCTATGAACTCGGTCACCCTTCACTGTGCTAAACCGTAAATCCCGCATAAAACCCTGGAATCTCAGCTCCGAAATGCTCTGAATCCCAATAACCCCACGCCAACTCGCGTAAGGCCCCCAAATAGCTCTAAATCCTGAACCCTAAACCCTTAGACACGCAACCCTTAAACCCCAAACCCCTAAACCCTCAAACCATGAAACCCTGAACCCTTCAACCGCCCGAGCCCTCAGGTCGAGATTTGTTGGATCGGCCGCTGATGTCACTTGGCTCTCGGATGGTCGGTGAATGCTCATGTCGTGGAGTTTCCACTCTTTAGCTAACCATTAATATTGGAGGAGCTGAGGAGCCAGGGATGGTGATAATCCCTACTTAATAAGGAGCTAAAGAGCCAAGGGAACCCCAACACCACTGGTTAGTTAGGTTTTGGGCTTTCAGGGCTTAGGGAGTTTCTACAAGTAGCAACATGAACTGTAAGAGCTGTGTCGTACTAATACTATTAAGGGCTTGCGGGTTAAGCATGAAGGGCTTTGTGGTGTAGGGTTTGTTTGTTTTGGAAGGGGGGGTCGATCTGCTTTACCCGAACCCTAAACCCTAAACCCCTAAACCCGTAAACCCTCTAGCTATACTCTAAGGTGTTGGCAGTTCAGAAATTCCGTGTTTCATGCCACAGTCCGGCAGCTCAGGTTGGCTATTGCTATAGGGGCCTTAATAATTGAATAGGGTTCCTTGAAGAGGTCCTGTAAAGGGGTCTATAGGGGATCTATAGTAGGGTTCTATGATGTAAGGGCCTTAATAATTAGAATTTGGTTCTGGGGCTCATTATACTCTAATTACAATAAGGAACCACCAAAATAGTATAGGCAATAGGTAGATATTTAGGCCCCTACATCAGGCGAGAGTGTTAGTTCTGTGCCTTGGGTTGCTCTGGGCATTCGGGTAGTGTGTAGGGCGTTGGAGGTTAACGGTGCAGGGTTCAGGGTTCGTAGCGTTTTTTTTCGTGTTAGGTGGCGAGGATTTTGGGCAGTTACTCGGGTGTCGCGCTATTCTTGGCTGTGCTGGCGATTTCAGGGGCGTTCCAGCCCAGTGCTTACAGGTGCGTCAAACAAGAAGCCGAAGCAACGCAGACTTACGAGAGAGTCTGGATTCGGGATTTGCGGTGAAGTTTCGGTACAGGGTGTAGAGTCTCCTGAGAAGATGAAGATCAACCGGCGACACATGGAGAAGGACATCGAGAAGCTACAGTCCCACGACAACTCCTTGAGCATCCCTCGCAAGTGTTTTCGACCCCAAACCCTCAACCCTAAACCCCAACCCTAAATCCTAAACCCTTGTGGGTCTGGTGGCAGAGATGGGCTTGGATCCGGCGCAGGAGCTCCAGTGGTCCGCCGAGGGACCTTGAGCAGCCCTCGAAGCCTCCAAGCCGCGACGGAGGCCGTGCACAGCAGCATCATACGGCTGATGGACAAAATCCTGCATTACCCATAAGCCATAAGAAGGAATATACCATAAATGCCCATCGTTTAGGGTCCCTGGGGTAAGGCAGGATTTTGTCCATAACAGTACGACGCAGATTCGGCTTATGTTGTCTTGTCTTGCCGCGTTGCAAGCAGTGGCCAACGACTACGACTTCATGCTCAGCCTGCAGGGGTGTTGAGTTTGATGTTTCGGGAAGGGCGTACAGGATTTCGTGTCTGGCATCATCCGGTGCCTGCACGGCCGACTTCGCACAAAAGCCTGGTTTAAGCAGCAGTTGCGTTGATGTAGGGGTCTGGATAGCCCTTCATCGTCCGAGAGACCGCATAACTATAATATCATCCCCCGAAGCCCTATTCACATGATTATGGCCCCGAACCGAATTCGATACCCCACAACTCGAAATTACAAGCTCTGTGACACCATCTCGCTGGGCCCTACTAGGCGAGCCTCAATCCTGCAGATGCAAGCAAACTCAACCCTCTGAAGCCTTGAACCCTAAGCTTCAAATTCCAATCACCTTAACTGCGAGGGGGAAGGGAAAGAAGGCGTTCAAAAAAAAACTATCACCAAACCCCAGCCCCAAACACCCCAAACCCTAAAGCCTCAAACTCACAGCCCCAAACCCGAAGCCTGAAATCCCAATCCCAGATGCGGATCCCGGTGGCTTTGCGCTCACCGATCTACAAACTCTTCGCATGGAGGCAAGTCGGAGTCTGGCATGGGTCAGAAAGCCCAGATCACACAAAAGGTTTGGGGTTTAAGCCGTCTAGGATTTCGGGTAGATTCCGCAGTCATGGGGTCTTGGTCTCTCCAAGTATGGGGTTGAGATCGGAGGGGCTCTTGAAGCCTGCATCTGGCGTTCGGGAATTCATATACTGTTGAGGATTTAGGTTGCAGAGCTAAAGGACGAGTGCTGAGTGCGCTTGGGCTGGTACAGTCCCCACATTTTAGCTTAGGGTTTAGGGTATTCCTGCACCGTTTTTGGGCTCAGGGCGTGTAATTCAGACCCGGGCCCAACCTAATGTATTGGATTACACTTGGAGGCCCTTTTGACTTTTGACTTAGTAAGTAGGGTTAGTAAGGTGGGTTATGGGGATTATAATAGGGTTTCTAGGGGATACTAAGTAGACTTTCTAAGTCAACAGGGCCTCCAAGCATAGCTTGAGGTTCATACCCACTGTCCCACGCAACGATAGTAGGCAAGAAGCCTCGATCGCTTTATGTTTCTGGGCCTGGTCTTACCTGGACCCTAAGGAACCTACCTTTTCAAGGACTTATATAAAGAAATCATATAAGGGAGCCCTAAACAGGTAGGTTCCTTAGGGTCCAGGTACCTCAACTCAATCTATAGACCTCCCATCATTCGCGATCGTGAGTTCCCGGGCTCTTATTTCAGGCATGCAACGTGGCAGTTACCGTTCCAAGGACAGATAAGGGTTCAAGTTTGCTGTGCATCTCCGTGTTCATTGACCCTTAGCCACAAATCCCAAACCCTAAGCCCCCCAAACCCTAACCCTAACCAATAAGAATCCCCTAAACCCCTAAACCCTAAACCCTATCCGATCGCCTTCTCTGCCGCTCCCCGAAGTGGCATCACCTGCCATCTCGCGTCTCGGTAGAAGAGCTATGTCTTAGCAGTCGAGTAATGTAGGAGCCAGCCTTAGTAATTAGAGTAGGGTTCCCTTGAAGGGTTCCTTTAAAAGGGGTCTATGCGAGTATAAGAGCTACTGTGAGGCTTATGCTGTAATTAGAATAGGGTTTTGGGAGGTTCCTCAATATAGTATGGTATACCCCCCAAACCCTGTTCGAACTCTTAGAGTAGGTGACCGTAACCTTTGCCTTTCGTCCCTACATAACCTAGGTTAACCTGCAGATCCCCTAGGATGCTGGACTCCTGGGATGTTCTTGTTGCAGCTAAAGGTTGATACTCGGAGTTTTAAGGTTCCTTGAAGGATGAAGAGATCCACGACCACGAAGAGAAGCCGGACAAGCTTAACGGTTCCTCTCTTGTTCCGCTTCTGCCGTGTCGCACTGAGATCTCCTAGATCGAGTAGATGGAGCGTTGAACCCAAAAGAGAGAAGTCCAGCTTGCATCTGATCGGAGTCTGTTCAAGTATGTCTCGGGCACCCTGGAGGAGCAGGACCGTGTTTAAGGCTTAGTCGCCCGGCCTCTGTAGGTATGGATGGTTACATAGATAGATTTAGATGGCTAGATAGATACCCTGAACACATACCCCGGGCATTTCGGGCAACTGAGTGTCGATACCCCCCGAACACCCAAGTCCCGAAACCCGGGACCTTCAATGCCGTAGCGGATCTCCAGATACAACTTGGACTTGAACGAAGTTCGCTACCCCTTGGATGCCTTCCATACGTCCGGCTTTCCTGTTTGCGCCTGTCACGGTCCAGGGAATACTGGAGGGTTGATGAATAAGCTGCCGTCGGTAATTTTGCACTCTTGCTTGTAAATTGCTTCGTGCAATTCTGATGGCAAGAGGGTTTTTAACCAGGGGTCTACAATATTTGTGCATGCTTGATTCTTCAGTGTCTTAGCTCTAGCTTGCTTTTGTTGTTTGATAGCATCTTGTAGGCTTCACAAGAAAGCCCTATCACAAGAGCCCCTGCAGTAGGCACCATAAGATAGGCCCTGAAAAGACGCGATGCTGTTGGAAACTCTGCGGCCTTGAACCCTGGTCCTATACGTCCTTAAGACCTACGGTTGATGCTAAAAATCCTGCATTACCCATAAGGAATGTACCATAATTCCCATAGTCTAGGGTCATTAAGGCAATGCAGGATTTACGCGTAAACGGATGTATAGCTTGTAAGGAGAGTACCTTAAACCATTTCGGTCATCCTACTATAATTTCGGGTATATTCCTCAATTCCCTTTTAGAAACCGTGTAGATCCCGTTAAGGAGCCCTTTGAGGCACTCTTAGGTATATATTCCTTAAATACGGGATATTGGAGCGCAATATCCCCCCAGAGACTCCCAAATCCCTTAGTGACGGAATGTAACTAAGGGTTCCTGAAATCTCCGAAAACCATTCTCATTAGGAAGACCGTTAGATTCACGAAACTTCATAGATCATGGCAGCTTCAACGACTTCTTTAGCCGGAAGCTGGTGGACGGCGCGCGGCCGATAGCACAGGCCCGTCACGATTCGGGTAACCAGAATGTGTGCACATTTTCCGGTTCCCGAGCTTTACACTCAGGGTCTTCAAGAGTGTTAGGGCTTCAAGACGCCTGCAGCACTGGGAGGTGGCATTCTGTGTGGTTTTGTTTGGAGGGTCGGTTACCCCTGTGCGGATCCATCCACTTGAGGTTTGTTCTGTAGAAGGCCCACGTACGATGGTATGATATACCCCCCGAAGTAGTGATATGATTATGAAGGCCTCTACATCACCCTCTGGGGTTCATGATAAGAAAGGTGCGGGCAGTGCAGCGTGCAACAAGCTGGCAATGTAAGCTGCCCATCAAAAACAGTAGAGTATTTGATGGTACTGTTCTTGCGGTCTGATTATGCATACAGTATAAACTACCCACAATCCCTGTTCCCATCGTTAAAAGTTAAAGTCCCCCAAACCCCATAATTCAACCCGATAACCCCGAAATGAGCCTTGCCACTCCTAGTCCACAAAACCTAGAAGCTCCAAGACATAAACCCAGAGACTCCAATGTCCCTTAATTCAGGAATATGCCTTAAATCATAGTAGGACCCTTAAAATTTTTAAGGTATGTTCCTTCGTGAAGGGATATTGGATTCTCTGGGAACCCTACGTCTCAAGGAACCATTGACTAAGCCCCTAAACCCTAAGCCCTAGACCCTGAACCCTAAACTACTTACTTCGCCAATGGGAGATCTTTAGACCTTTTGGCATTACATAGCTAGTCTATACTAGAAAGTTTGAAATCTTTTTGGGCCATGTTATTGAAGAAATGAGACTAAAACCCCTACTCTGCAGAGGTTCCGCGGGGCTTGGTGAGCCCGGTTGACGCCGAGGTGCTCACGCAGGGAGCCCCAAGAAAAAATCGCCAAGAGTTCCTCTACGTAAGGTTTTAGTAAAGTGCCCGAAAGGGTTCTGTAAGAGTTCCTGCAAGGTTTGTCTAAGGGGTCGATAATAGTTCCAGAAGAGTACCTCCGGGGGTTTCTTCAGAGGTTTATAACTTACAACGGTTCTGCAAGAGTTCCTTTAGGCGATGTTCGAACGGTTTAGGGTTAGTAGACGACTTACTTCAAGTCCTTTAAGAGCACAGCGGCTGCAATGAGGGGCAGGCAAACCCGACGAAGGGTCCAGGGCTTTTTGGGATTTCGGCCTCAGGACATTGTCTGTTAGGAGTCAAGAAGGTTTCAGGATATGAGCTTGTTTTGTTACGGCTGAGGACCTCTACACAACGATGCACTTACCACCAAGCTCGACAACCCAACTCGAAAGCCCCAAATTCCCCAAGCCCTGAAACCATCTGAAAGCCGAACGTCCCCTACACACTTATGCACATGCTCTTAAACCTACACCCGCCAAGCATCAACACACTGAGTTCCTAAAGCTCCGAATGGGACATACTTACAATGATACCAAACCTGCAATGCCATTCCTAGGGGCACGAAGAATGCAAGAATGCATGCCTTCACAGCTATACGGGTATCAGCAGTACCAAGTCTCTGAGTGTTTGAAACACCGTGGCCTAAACCCTAAACCCTACAGTTGATGATATAAATCCTGCATGACCAAAAATACAGAATATACCACAATTCCCATAGTTTAGGATCCTTATAAGTAATGCAGGATTTATATCATCAACCGTATCAGCAGTAAGTGTGTGCGACCCATCTTGCTGCTTGCACCCAAGCAAGACAAAATCCGACGGTACTTGATTAGACCCTTCAGGTACCTCCTACTAGACCCTACAGTTTTAACACGGTTTGAATTACGTACCATTATGGTCCTTGTACATTTATGACAGTATATATATATACATATCTATATGTAACATATAGTTATGTACATATAGAAACACCTCCCTATTTCAGGATACTGGTAGGGAGTAAGAGCTAAGGGTAATTGCAACGAGAGGACCTAGACCCTCCGTTGAGGGACACACATCATCATCATCATCATCATCATCATCATCGGTTTTATGGTTTTGAGTTTAGGGTTTAGGGTTGCAGGCTTGAGGGTTTAGTGTTGGTAGGACTAGGTTCAGAGTTTCGGGTGAAGCGTCGTGATCGCCACCGTCATCCCGGTGCTCCCAGGAAGTTCAGTGGGATCATTGAATCTGTATTTCTTCATCAACGGATTCCTAAACGGTATATAAGGCATTATCTGACGCGACTCCCTTCCCCCGGAACACTCCGAAAAGAAGAATGGTGCATACTCAACCCAGGATTGGGCAAGTCACTGAAGCCAACGCGCGCGTGGATCAGGCCGCAGAGATTCCATTTGAGACTTTCAAGCTGGCGGTTCTCGGGTTGGGCTTCTGATGCATGCAGGTTGGGGCGATCGATTCGTGATCCGAGGCTTGTACGGCACATAGCTGATTGCCACTACGGATTCAGACGTATCATATAGAATACAACCCGCAATAATGACATTTGTACCGGTATATACCTAGGTCTATATCTTTCTCTGCAGCTATATCTATATCTATTTCTAAGTGTGGGTCTGGACATTGGGACTTTTGAGGTACTTTTGGGTGAGGGTCCACAATCCAAAAAGGTTTGAACCCCAAGCCTTAAGCACCGAATCCCAAGCCCCAAAGTCCAGTCTTCTGGAATTCTTAGGTGACAGTACCAGGTGATCGAAAAACCCCACAACTCTAAACCCTGAACCCAAGCCTAGGATGCAAATAGGGCCCGCCTTTTCTAGGAACATCCACAAGAAGCATATGCTCAAGCCATGAATCATATCCCCAAGCCCCTAAACCCTGAACCCTTTGGGCTCCAATGGATGAAAGTCGCGACGTCTCCTGGATGTGTTAGCCTCTTGAGACGGAGCTTCAAAACAAGCCTAAACCATAAGCCCACGCCATGAGTCAGAACCCCATGCCTTGAATCGCTGAGCCGCACCTGCCCCAAAAAACCTCCCCCCTTCCCCCCCAGCACCAGAAGTCAAAAGCTATAGGGCTACACCCTGAACCCTAAACCCTAAGCCCTGTAGGCTGCAACTCCGAACCATCGACCTTTCTACAAAAACACCGAAACACAAAACATTGGGCCGAAAGACTTACCTTTTCTCTTCTGGGGTTCCTTACTATGAGGCTAGGACGTTATTAAGGCCACTGTACTCGTCTTGAAGATCATTGGAAGGAACCCCAAGAAAAGGTGGGGCATTTCAGCTCCAAGTAGACCCTAAACCCTCACAAGCCTGTATCTGTGGCTACACCGGCTTGAAGCTCAGGACTCACCGGTCAAGCCTATACTCCCTAGTAGTAGAGTAGGTAACCTTTCACCTTTTTTTGGGGTAGTATAGTCCCTATATAATCCCTATATAACCAAAAAGGTTAACTTTTAGTTTCCCATGATACCCGACAAGTAGGACTCTAGGGCCGTATAGACATGCAGCAAGCTGGTCTTGCACAGGTGAAGGGTGCCACCTACAACATCCGTTCCTTCCTAGGCCGTGTTGCACGATGGGGCTGCTTTTGGGGGTTTGTGATGTGGGAGTTTCCGAAAATGGGGAACCCCAATGTAGTACCCGAGATAGTAGGACCTTTTACTGTAAGGACCCCAAAATAAGATACACCAAATTTCCGGAGACTTCCAAAAATTGGGGTTTAGGACCTTAGACCATAATCCGCATTATAAGGTCCCCAAAACTGGGTTTAGGATTTGATTCTTTTCCGCGTCTGGAGCAGGGGGGCGGAGAAACCAAAGCAGCGGACAAATTGCAGACCGGGAGCCCTGAAAGTTTAGGTAAAGGGATCCATAAAGGCTTCCTATAAGGGATCTACGGTTTAGGGGTTTTGGGGACCGAGAGATGGTAGAAATTTCTGGGACTTGATCCTTTGGGGTTTAGGGCTTAAAGCAGGTTTGAGGATTTAGGGATTTTGGGTTTTAGGGGTTGAGGGGTTTAGGGGTTTAGGGTTTTTTTTGTTGGAGCTTCGCGAGATAATGTTGATATTGAGTACAATCTGGGCGTAGAATCTACAAGCCGGAGGTACTATTGGCAGAAAGAGACAATCAGATTGATGCTTGCATTAAGATGTCCATGGGCTCCTCCCGAGATCCGCCGCAAAGCCTCTAATATACTAGGACCTAGAGTAGGCCCTTATTCCCTTTTTTAGAGTTCAGGTTCCCTTAGAAGCCCCTTTAAACAAAAAAGGGCACCCTTTTTATTCCTAGGTTACTCTTGGGTCTAGTATAGGGGCCTCAATGATTACCTACATTATTTTGGTGGTTCCTTAAGAGCCCGAAGGCTCACAAACCCGTTCAGAAAGGAATCCCTGAAGGCCCAAAGCCTGAAGCAAAGGTAGCGTAACGTAAGCACGGCTTTCTTTCTTCTATTTAAGTTCAGCACCCCACAACTAATCTCTAACTATCAGAGAATCCCCGGCCCTACACCCTACAGCCCACCAAAAGTCTTGGCATACATAGCAATAAGAAGGTTGAGTAAGTAGAGAACAGTGTGGTAGGAATAGGGCGTGCCAGTCAAACGCCCCGATTGACGCGTGTGGGAAGTGCATTTTTTCAGTTGTATGGGAGTCCTACCGTTGCTTTTGGTAAGTGGCGTTGCATCTTGTATGCATCCTGGATAGTCAGGGACTAATTATTCCTCAAACGACGGTGGAAGTCTGTGTGCACCCTGATTTCGCTGGCAATGTTCAGGGTCTTGGGTTCCACTTCTTTGGGTCTTCATTATATAGGGATATCCCGACCTTGTTGGGCTTCATTATAAGGGGGTTTATATGGGTTATCCCTATCCTAATTTTTGCTTATGTGCTTTTCTGGGGTCCTATTATACAGTCCGCTCCGCAGGTCCGAGGTTAGGGCTCGTTCCGCTAAGTATCGATCTGGGATGATTTTGAGTGTCCGTTATCTTTTTAATATAGGGCCCGAATTATGAATAATTTTGCGACCTGTATCGATTGCTTTACAGGAACCCTTACGGTATCCATGCCGTATCGAATGCTTTAATGATGGCATCTTTAAATGAATCCCTTTGAAGGAAACGCCCTAAAGCCCAAACCCTAAGCCCTAAACCCTAAACCCTAAGCCCAAAGCCCAAAAGAGGCTACGAGCCCCTGGACGTGGCGAAGAGGGACTCTGACGCAGCTCGGCTTGGACATGCGCAGGTCTTCTTGGTAGTAGAGTAGGAAACCTCTTGACAGCCTCCATCGACCCAGATCCCAGCTAGGAAATGTACGGAGAAAGAGAAATCATGGGGGTTTCCGAAAATAGGGGACCCTAATCCAGTACCTTAAATAGTAGGATCCTTACTCCCCATACTAGGGTCCCCCGATTTTCGGAAACTCCCATTTGAGTCTGAGGTGCACTATGTGGTGCTGTATCTGAGTCCTGGGAACTACCATCGCATCCACAGCCCGTGTGAGGCAGGTTTGGTCCCTTGGCGAGTTCAGGGAAACTCTAAGTTAGAAGCCGGAATGAGTACACAGATTCTTCTGGAGGGCGCCTGAGAAAAAGGGTTCCTCATTATACCGTTGTTACAGTATGAAAAGCCCCAAACCTTAAGGGCAGTTGGCCTTGAGCCCTGACCTCAACCGCTCCTCCGACGGCTTCCACTCTTCCCGTAATGCGCTCGTTTTTGCAGCAACCCTAATTTTACCCCAAACCCGATATCAGAAACTCCCCGAAACCAGAAATCTCAAATCAGCATCTTAGGGCAGCTACCTGACTTCGACACTAGGTCAAGAAGCTCGGGCTGCCCGCACGAAACCTGTGCAAGCTATGTACCTCCACATGTATTTTGCTACCAAGGGATACAGATGCCTGAAGGGTTAGGAATAGTGTTCCATAGGGTTTCAGAAAGAGAACTACTGTTATTGCTCCCAAACCCTTGTAATGTTCGGGGCTAGATATTGTGAGCGTTGTTATTTGTCACTTGGAATCCTGAAAGGAACTCGTTCTATCCATTTATTTAGGGCCTCCATATGATGCCGTGTCCGCGGCAGCCGATCCGGGTGGAGTGCTAGCTTGGCTTCCTTCTCGACCATCTCCGAAAAAGCAGGGTGGCTCTGAGGCGGACCTTCTAGACGAAGCCTTCAAGAAGTGCTGCAAACCTTGGATGCAAAGAGGGCAGCTGGAAAGAGTCTCCTCGAAGTTTCCCGTGATGGAAGATCCTGTGGAAGTCGAGTCCACATTTCACGCACTGGAATTCTTACATGCCGGGCTGGACATGTCACCTGTACTTGGTGCTTCCACGGAAGGGAATCAGCAAATTCGAGTCCAACCTTAAATCAAGGTGTACTCCTTCATCAGGGGATATTAGAATCCCCTAAACCCTAAATCCCTAGAGATCCCTTATAGACACCCTAGGGTACATTACGTTTTTTTGGGGGGGGATCTTGGGAGTCTCTGGGAGCTTCGTGGGTCGGCTTGCAAGAAAAATCACAGGCTCTGCGACCCCTCCTCGAGCTCGAATCCACATAGGTGGTTGTCAAAATGATGGTCCCTTTGTGGGTCCTTATAATCAGGGTTTAGGGTTTGGGGTTAAGGGTGCACTTAATATTTGGGGTACCCCAAATGGGGCTACAATTTTGACCACCACTCACATAGGAGTTTCTGAAGATTAGGGGTACTATCAGGGTTCCTTGAAAGGGCTCTGTAGGGGTTCAGAGTTTCCGAAGATTAGGGGTACCTTATTTTGGGGTCCTTATAATAAGGATGCTACTATTCAATAAGGATCCTACTGTTCAGGGTACTATATTGGGCGTCCCCTATTTTCGGTTGTTTACAACGCAAATCGTATAATGGTAAAGCATTTGAGATACAAAACACCCCCAAACCCTAAACCCTAAATTCACAGTCAGCCCTCTAAAACCTCTAAACCCTATAAACCTTAGACGGTAAGGCATTGTGCATCGCGGACAGGTCACCCTCAGCAAGGGCCGACATTTCGGCGGAGAGCTCCTTCCAGTGAGGCTCTTTTGGTGTTTGAGGGGGGTTAAGTTCAAGGTTCAGAGTTAAGGGTTTTAGGTTTTGCGGGATTGGTTTTCGGTTAAGGGGTTTAGGGGGTGGCTGGTTTAGTGGGTTTCTGTTCTCTGTAGGGCGTGTTTAGGCTTTTCATGGTGTTTCCTGGGGTCGCAGGGGTTGTAGAACGGATTTTACCAGCGGGCAGGGTGCGAGGTTCCAGCTTCGGGGCCTTTTGGGTTTCGGATTCCGGGCGCCGGTTCTCCAATTTTATAGATAGAGCATATGGTGAGGATTCCGAGCTTAGGATCTAGGTCTCCCAGTAGTTCCCTTTTGCAAATTTTACTTTGGGACGTTTTACTGAAGCCGGATAGTTCGGAAAAGGGCACCATTATCTTAGGGGTACTTATGTAGAAATAGTGTTTTAATTTTTGGTTATTATAATCCATCAGAAACAGCTGAAATTATGATTTTACCAGGGTTCTAAGTTCAGTATAGTTATGGGGCTACTGGATAACCTAGAGATTCAATATGCTTTTTCCTGTTGGAACTGGAGATTTGGGTGGGGGTTTTAAGGTTGTCTGGTTGGTTTGGGCGGAATATAGTGGCCTCAATAATTACCTATACTATTCTTGGGGGTTCCTTATTGTATTTATAGTATAGTGGGCCCCAAAACCCTATTCTAATCCTTTGGGCCCTTTTTTTTTCGTGCCTAGGAGTGGAGGATCCTCCGGCTACGGGTCTTCTGGTCGTTCGGGATTCAAGAGTTTGTCTTTGGCTTTTGGAGTTTGGGGTGTTTTTTGGCGGATGCTTTTGGAGAAAGGGGTTTAGTAATTATGTTGGAGGGGCCGTAAAGGCTAAGCCCTAAACCCGAACCTTGATAATCAACAACAGTGAATTTGGAGTGGGTCCTTGGGTTTGAGGGTGAGACGAACGGACCGACACGAGTTCAGGGTCTGAAGGCTACGCGGTGGGAGATTGTTAGGCGTACTTTGGTGTTATGTTGACAGGGTTCATTTGAATAATAGGGTTGTAGGGGCTTTTTGACGCTTGTGGCATGTGGTGCAAATCGGGAATCTGAGGCGGGAGTGGTGCGGCAGTGTGGGAGTTTTAGCGTCAGGGGCCCCGCAACCTAAACAGCTCCGCAAAGGTTTGTGTTTCAGGGGTTTAACCCCTGGCTTTAGGAGTTCAGAGTTCAGGGGATCGCCGCACAAAACAGAAGTTCAACACCAAAGCCCCTTAAAGGCCTTATTGCCCCCCCGATCACTTCAGAAATCTTCGAATCTCCGCTTCTTGGCCATTTGCTACAGGGCTTCATACGGTTCTATGGGGCCGAACTACCGGCTACTAACGGAGTTAGGCTCAAGACCAAATCGGCCGGGAACGAGAGTGAGGATTGAGAAGCCCTGAAGCGTAATGACCCTTGCAACCCTTAACAGGCTTGTGGGCTGTAGCCTGCGACCTCCACAACGAACCCTAAATCCCCATATAGCATGCTTTGCCTGTATCAGAAATTTGTGGAGTCTGCCCCCAACCATGGATATCTAACCTGGCACTCGAAACCCCTGGGAGGTGTGAGCTTGGGCTCCAAACACGGTGTACGGTTTAGGGTTCAGGGTATATGGGCACTTCTCTAAATTAGGGTTCCTGTTTAGGTCACAACAAAAATGGATAAAAAATAGTAGGGTTCAGGGCATATGGGCAATTCTCTAAATTAGGGTTCCTGCTTAGGGGTCCCCAAAATAGTATGGCACCCGTCAAAAAGGACCATAAAAGGGACCCTAATTTAGAGAACTGCCAAAGACAGCCGAATGTCGCCAGGTCGTGGCTGCTCCAACGCAAGGGCCCTGTGACACCTGCCGTTCTGTTAGTCTAGGAATCTATACTACCTTAAACCCCCCTCTTTGGCAAACCGCAGTTCCTTTAAGGGCCCTAAGGCTATGATTCCTACCGAAGCGCCTGTGAAGGGGCGATGTTCCGGTACAATCCCCCCTACAAAACCCTAAACCCTGAACCCTAAACCCTAAACCTACCGACACCCTTCTCAAACTTTTCAGGGCTGCTTCAACAAGCCTTAACCCCCAAACCTTCCACCATGAACCAGGAGGTCGGGTTGAAGAACTTCAAGAGTCCCTCTAAGGGTTTCTATAAGGGCAATATACGGGTTTAGGGTTTGAGACAGAGAGAGAGATCTGGGAGTATCCGAAAATGAGGGATACCTTGTTTGGGTGTCCTTATTGTAAGGATCCTTCTATTTAGGGTACTATGATTAGGGTCCCCTATTCGCTGGAAACTCCCATATGGCCGTTGTAGAAAAGTACACAAGCCATACAGGCCTTCACCCATGAACCACACTTGGGGGTTCATGGGGGTTCAACCGCACTTGCTACCCAAGAACTTCCACCTAAACCCTAAAGCAGCAAAGATCAACCCCGAGAATCCTATCACGAGGTGTTAACGATGTCCTCGCGGTGAACGAGCGCGTGGTGCTGACGGGCCAGCAGCCGACCCGGTCTACTCTGCGCAGGGACTTTTGGTCTTAAAGTGTATGAATTTAAGGCCTCGGGTTCAAGATTATCTCTTCAAATTTCAGGCTTAGGGTTTGAAGTTTACGATCTTAGATATACGGTTGACGGTTACTTAGACTCTCCGAGTACATGTACCTCGATTACGACCCGAACTACGATCTTAGATTTACGGTTGACTGTTACTTAGACTCTCCGAGTACTTGTGCCTCGATTACGACCCGATGTATCCGTGAACACAAGGTGTTCATAGCAGAGTGTCGCCTCAGCTTGCCTATATGCGGATGCTCTTGCATGTCCAAGTTGTCGTAGAGCCTTCGAAGAGATAAACATCAGGGACGTGTCTTGCGCGATGACACTAGCGCTTTTATCCCTCAGACGCTGTGTAATCGTTCGACAGTTCCAGCTGTTCAGCTTCACCGTCCTTGGTGCTGCGTTGTGCCTCTGATCGAAAACCGAGGCAACATCGCTTCAGCTTGGCTCAAGCTATTCGCGATTAATGTAGTGAGGTGAAGCTCCAGCCATGCAGAAGCATCTATTGTTCCTCCTTGCGGCATCGGCTGTGGCTGTCAAAAACAGCTACGGGATCCTGCAAAGGTCTCAAGTTAGAGAAAGGAACCCTTTGCTCTGCCGTGAAATCCGATTCTAGGCTGCTCTTGAAGACAGTAACCTTGTGTGTATGTATATTTTATTTGCCGTTGGGTGTATTCTATGATTAAGGGATAGGGTAATTCTTATAGTCTGATACTGTTTTGTTCCGAGCACAGCTAAGGATTGCGAATCCCACTATGCCACAACGGAGGCAGGACGCTCTTTACAGTGCGGCATGTCTGGAGACAAATGCCTCACCACAGGGCCTTTCTGCGAGCCGCCGACGTGTACGGCAGAGAGCGTGATCTCGAACAACGTGGCTTCCAACGATACTTAGGGGTACTTAGAAATGTTTGTTATTTTTGGTTATTATAATCCCTAAGAAACATCTAAAATCATAATTTTTGCGAGGGTTCTATCTTCAGTATAGGATAACCGCCTGGAATCTTCCCGCAGCGGCGGCTATGTGGTGGACTTGCAAAACGGTGACACCGTTTGGTCTCAGAACACTTATGGCTCGAACCAGCGCGGACTGGGTCAAGCTTTCGATGCCTCCTCCGCCAGAGACTGGAATCGTGCTTGGCATGGGAAGTGCCACGGACCTGACTACAAGGCTGCTCCCTTGCAGCTCCGGTACACCTTCAAGTCTGGAAACCATGTCATCACGTCCGTGAAGGTGGGTGGGTGTCAAAACTATGGTCCCTGCTTTGGGCCCTTGATATAATACGGCACCTAATATTTAAGGTACCCAAAAAGAGACCCTAATTTTGACAACTACCCAGGTATGGAATGTCCCCGGTGCAGGGCACCACGCCGGCAAGGTCGATGTGAAGTATTGGACCGGCAGCGACTGGGAAGACGTCACGAACCAAAGCCTGGAGGGCTTCACCGAGAAGATCGACACGGAAGAGATCGAAATCAAGTTCGATGCCGTGACCACCTCCCAATTTCGCCTGGACTTCTGGGCGCATGCGACCGCCGGCAATCCCACCTGCGTGGGGGCGACGGAGGTCCAGATCATCGGCTGCAAGGGCCCTTGAGGCTCCAAAATCCAGTCACTCAGGAATATTCCTGAAATCAATAAAGGCCTCCTGTTCCTTTTTTTAAGGGATATTGGGATCGACGGGCCCCTTTGCCGACCCTATCCGACCATCCGACCCGCGCTTGAGTCTGGTAAAATGTCGGCGCTGCCCTTGCAACCTTCTGTTCAACAGATCTCTCTCACACACACAAGCATGGGAGTTTCCGAAAATAGGGGTACCTTTTTGGGGGGTCCTTATAATCAGGATCCTACTATTTAGGGTACCATGTTAGGGTCCCCCTATTTTCGGAAACGCCCACATGTTCCGATGTACAGTCCTGGAGCCTTCCGACCTAAAGCCCAGTTCTGAGGTGGACAGCCCTCGAGGTGCTTGAACCCTAAACTCTATGCACCCCAAGTCATAAACCATCCTAGACCCTAATTTCAAAGACAATTGAGGTGGGAGAGTGGCCTCATGAGTCTTGTGGCCGTCGGGGCGGGGATCCCAGTTCCCTGTTTCCATCATGGGTTTAGGGGTTTTACGGTTCAGTGTCTAGGGGGTTCGGGGTTTTAGGATTTTGGGGCTTAGGGTTTAGGGTTTAGGACATTTGGGGTTTTAGGGTTTTCGGGCTTAAGGGCTTTTCCGGTTAAGGCCGCACAGGTCACTTCGTGGAAACTGGGACAATAGGGCAAAGATTGCCTGCCTTACGCCCTGAACACTGTTGCCATCTGAACCCTGGAATCCTGAACCCCCCCACACCCTGACTTAGCACGTGTGCCAAACCCTCACAACTTCAAAACCTAAACACCTCGAAACTTGAAACCACCGAAAGCTTCGAACCGTGCATAGAAACACCTAGAGCCACCCTTGTTGTAGTAAACCTCGTAACCTTTATAGTAACATGCAAAATAACCCTAAACCATAAACGCTCAACCCCACGCCCTACTCCCTGTATAGTACTTGGAGGGTCGGGGGGCTTAGCAACTGGTTATTTTAGGGACTTATAAGTACCATAACCCCAATTAGGCTCCCTTTTAGGGTACTCATAAGTATACTTACTACCTACTTACTAAGTCCCCCGACCCTCCAAGTAGACCTTATCACAACCCGTCAAGGCCCCTCTTACAGGAACCCAGAGAAACTGCTGCCAGGCCGCCAATGTCGGAAGCATTTTCCTGGATTTTGACCACAAGCTCAAAACCAACAGGCACCCTTTTTTAGGGTTTATAAGGTTTGGGGTGTAGGGTTTATACGGTCTAATAGTTTAGCGTTTAAAGTTTTTATGAGATTTAGGGTGAGAGGGTTCAGAGTTTAGGTTTTCTTGTGGGTTGGCATGACGTAAGACTTAGTAGCTGAGTGGATACACTTTACACTTTTTGGGATAGTACTACCCACTATAAAACTGAAAGTGTACACTTTCGGGGGGCTTATGAACTCAGCAACTAAGAAGGTAAGGTGGTTGGTCCATGCAGGGCTTACGGTATGGGAGTTGTGAGTTTTTGGGCTTCGAGCTTCTGCCGGTAAGGGGTTGAGGGCGCAATGTTACGGAGTTTTGGGCTTTAGGTCGGGTCCGGCCCCCACTCAGTAATAGTTGAATGGCTTCAGTTTTTGGAGTGTATTGTGCAGAGTCGGGCTTCGGAGACCAGTCGTGGACCCGAATCTACCTAGCGGCCCAGGGGACTCAGTAAGTAGGTTATAAGTAGGGTTATAAGTGGGGTAACTCCATTTAGGGTACTTAAGAACCCTACTTATCACCTACTTACGAAGTCCCCTGGGCCGCCAAGTGGACCCGAATCCAGGGCCCCCGGGGCTTAAGGAACCAGGCGGCCTATGCCAGGTCACATCGTACTAAGCTGATGAAAGCCTTTGGCTAATGTAGAACTCTAAAAAAAATGGATCGTCTCAGCCGATGAAGGCCTTTGGCTAATGTAGAAGCTTAAATTTCACGGTTATTCTTTATTAGGGTAACTATGCGATGAAGGAGCCCAATACCCTATTCCAACTGTTGAGGCGCCGCGCCTACGTTGAAGCCCCCCCCCCCCCGCTGGGGTTTCGGGCGTTCAGGGGTTCCAGTGCATCTGAGATGGTACGCTCCCGGGACCCTGAGCCTGAATCCAAACCTGAAGCCTGAAACCTAAGGCCCTTAAAGCCCCTAAGCTTAGACCTGTAATTGAACCCTAAATCGTTAACCTCAAACCCTAGAAAATTAACGGTCTAGGGTTTAGGGGTTTAAGGCTTAAGCCTTAGGGGTATTCTACTGTGCCACCTTCCCAAACCTTCGCAAGACCTTGTAGCTTGGGAAAGCATGTCGACTGCGCGACACTGCAACTTTCGGAAGCATCTTATTCCAGAGTGGGCAATCCCCCAGGAGCGAAGAAACGGCTCGGCATGTAGGAGGTGTCATAAAACGGAGCTCTTGTTAAGGGGTTTATTGTCAGTTACCGCAATACTGGATCTATAGTAAGCAATATGATTGCCTTATAATGGCAGCTTAAGTTAAGTCCCACCATACTCATAGGGATCTAAAGTAGAAGTAGACAATAGGGTTTCCTTATTATGGTAGCTTAAATTGAATGGGAGTTTCCGAAAATAGGGGACCCGAATATAGGATCCCTGTTATAAGGACCCCCCCAAAAAAGGTACCCCTAATTTTCGGCAACTCTCAAACCTCTGAACTCCTATCCTAAATAGTAGGATCCCAATTATAAGGACCCCCCCCCCCCCCAAAAAGTATTACCCTCATTTTCGGACCCTGAAGAGGAACCGAGAGAAGGGCCCTGAGCTTTCTAGCATCGCTTGGCGACTGCCCCCAAACCCAAAACCTCAAAGCCTACCAGCACCCACCTCTAAACCTGGATTATAGGGTTTAGGGTTTAGAGGAAGTTATAAGTAGGGTTATAAGTAGGTTAACTGTACTTATTGCCCATATTAGGGGACTTGTAACCCCACTTATAATTGCCCATGAACCTCCAAGTAGGGGACCGGGTTTAGGGTTTAGGGGACCTGAACCACCACTGTAGGGTTTACCAGCACCCCCCCAAGTACCCTTCAAAGGGCTCTAGTATTTCTCGTGAAGGGGTAGTTAGGGACTGCAATAAAGGGTAGTTAGGAGGTCGAGGTAAGCCTTCAACGGCGCCAACTATATAAAATGTCGTTTGCCACGAAACCGGAGGTCAAGTCAACATGTTTACATATATATATATATATATATATACATACACACACATAGATAGCTCGAAGTTCGCCTACCATGTAAGGAAGTGTATTTCACAATACGGAAAATTTAACGTGTGTGGTTTCTTCGAGATCCTAACACCCCTTAGTTCAGTCACATAATTAAACCCCTATAGATTAAGGCAAATTCCTGAATTCACGGGTATGGGGATCTCTGGGTTTCCCAGACTTCAGGCAAGCCGTGGGCCTTCAAATCCTGCAGGCTTCGCGACATTGTCGCCCACTGTGGTGGCGATATCTCTGAGAAGTTGCGCCCTGGCGCCAAAAAAACCCTGAACGCAAAACCTAACCGGAAACCCTAAACATTAAATACTAAACTCTAAACCCCTACTATGCTTATAAACGCTTACAGCCGTAACCCAATAAAGGTACCTATGACCATAAACCGGAAACCCTAAACTCGAAGCTCTGCAGGGAGGTTAGGGTTTGGTGGACTTGGGAGACCTGAAAGGTGTGTTTGCTTAAGGGTTGGAACTTGAGTCTTGGGCGGTACTGGAGCTTTCGGGCTTTAGGGGCTTTCGGATTTCAGAGACTTCAGGGGCTTTCGGGAGGCAGGTTTGGGGTTTCAAGGATTCTTTGTTTGGGAGTTTCGGGTTTAGGGTTTAGGGGAGTCTAGATGTCTCTTTCGCAGGCTCTCTACACGTATCGGGTTTAGAGGGGTCGCCGGTTCTCGAAAGGGCCTCTTTCGGGGTCCTGGGTTCAGGGATTCAGGCTTTTCCCGGTTGTGCTCTTCAGTTGCGGGAGTGCAGTCCAGCGCGTAGGACCTTCTATGTTTAGGATTGGAAGTGCTTTATTTCAGGGTGAAGCCCTCAGGCTTTTGAGGGCTCATAGGGCTTAGGGTGAAGGGGTTCAGGCTGCTATTCGGCTTGTTTTCAAATTGCCTCATGAGAGAGTGGGAGAGCACCACTATTCGGGTTTAGGGTTTCGGGTTTCAGTTCATACACGTTTCATCTTGAAACCTCCGGCTTGCGATACTCATGTTCAGCCAAGGCAAAACTAGGTCTTGATACCCTCAAGTCCCCCAAACCCTACTTCTTAAGCCTCAAATCGACAAGGCTCCGAAGCCGTAAGCAGCGAACAGCTGCGAAGTAACAACAACAAGAGCAAGATCATTACCAACACAAACATCAAGAACGCAGAGATAAAAACGATGGCAGACGTCTGCCTTCACTCGCTCCGAGTGTCTTCCCGAAGTCCTGCAGCTCTAGGCCTGGAGGACAGAAGGGGTCGAACGCTGCCGGCTGGGCATGGAATTGAAGTTCTTCCTGGCGCCCATAAACCCCTGAAGCGCATGGGTTTCGGACGGCGAAAAGTAAGCGAGACCGAGTGCAAATAGGATGCCCAGTAGTACCCTTATTCCCTTTTTCTAGGCCTAGGTTCCTTATAAAGTTACCCAAATACCAGAAAGAGAGGCCTTTTAATTCCTAGGTTACTGCGTGACCGAGTGCAACTGCTTTGGGAGAGGCCGAGACTCCCAAACCTTCCACAAGCCTAGTCTCCCCGGGTTGTCCTTTGGGATCTTTTTTAACTTCCCCTACTCTGTTGTAGAGAACCATAGTAGTAAGTAGTTTGCAAAGGGCTTAAATTAAAGGACAACTCAGCTCCATACTTCTACGCACCATCTTCACTCTAAACTCGGCCGGAACTCCCAAACCCGGAGCTCCTGAACCCTAAAGCCCCAAAACAACCCATCAACCATTCAACAAAAAAGTTGCCAAGCGCTCTAAAAACCTAAGTCCTAGCCCCTAACCCTTTAAAAGCCCTTTAAAGCCCTTTAAAGCCCT